CCCTAATTCCCTCAGCTGAGACCCACTGCCTCCATCTTCCCCCATCATCTGCCCAGTGCCCGGGTTTCTTGGTGTGGGTCCTCCTACTCCCAAAACCCGTGTCTAAGGGCACGCCTCGCTCTCACAGACTCTGACACACAGAACCTGCTCTTTGGGGGACGTGTTCGTATATAATTTGTTTTGTTGTCAGTCCTCACCGAGGATGTTTTTCCATTCATTTTTACAGAGTGGAGGGAGGGGGAGAGACAGAGAGAGAGAAACATCCATGTGAGAGAGACACATGGATTGGTTGCTTCCCACACACAACGTGACCAGGGTCAGGGATGGAGCTGCAACCGAGGTACGTGCCCTTGACCGGAATCGAACCTGAGACCCTTCGATCCATGGGCCGATGCTCCAACTACTGAGCCAAACCAGCCAGGGCTTAAGTAATTTTTTATGTTAAGACATACATGCCCTAAAACTTACAATTTTAGTCATCTTTAAATGTGCAGGTCAGGGGCATTACGTGTGATCACAGTTTTGTGCAACCGCCACCACCATCCATCTCCACATTTCCATCTTCCCAAATTGAACCCCCATACCCATTCCACACCAGCTCTCTCCCCCACCCTGGGCCCCTCTACTCTGCAGTCTGCCTCTGTGAGTTGTGACTCTATGCAGTGGTCGGCAAACTCATTAGTCAACTGAGCCAAATATCAACAGTACTTCCTCAAAATAGACTCGCCCAGGCTGAAAACCGACTTCTGAGCATGGGCCACGAAGTTTCAATCACACTGTACGTGCGCCCGCACGTGGTATTTTGTGGAAGAGCCACACTCAAGGGGCCAAAAAGCCGCATGTGGCTCGCAAGCCGCAGTTTGCTGACCACGGCTCTAGGGACCTCAGGTAAGCGAACTCGCACAAGCTGTGTCCCTCTGTCCGGCTTATCTCATGCAGCGTGGTATCTTCAGGGGTCCCCCATGTCGCAGCAGTTGGCAGGATCCCCTTCCTTCTAAAGGCCGCATGATAGTCTATTGCAGGGAGTGGAATGTGTATGTCACGCTTGCTCATCCATTGTGGACACTGGGTTGTGGGAGGAGATCACTTGTAAGATGGGTTGCGAGGGGTCATGCTTGTAGAGCAATGCCCAGAACCCTTCCTCCCATCTAGTTTTCAGGACCGCTTTTGGTGTAAACAGTCTAATATTCTCCACCTAAGACAGCACAGAAGGTACCTCGCACGTGTTCTCGCCCTACGTGAGCCAAGGGACCGTATCAGTTGAGGTTTTAACCGCAAACAACAGAAACATCCTGCAGCCGACGTGAGCAGAAAGGAGAGTTATTAAAAGGAAGCCAGCGAGCTCAGGACTCCCCAGGACAGAAAAATGCAGGCTACGTTAGGCTGCCCAAAACAACGGCAGATGCTAAAACTGTGCGGCAGAATTAGCTCCACCAAGATGCGGCGCCGCCTCTGCCGAGCCAGGCCCCGGTGATGGAGCTGCTCCCTCGCTGCCTCCAGCCTCCAGCCCCCAGCCCCCAGCCCCCAGCGCCCTGCTGGGCCCTGTTGCCCTGGCGCTTGGGCTCCCTAAGCGCCACCAGAGAGGGCTCCAGCGGCCCCTCATCACCAGCACCGGGCAGAGTCAGGACCAGACAAACCTGCGTGGCTGCGCCAGCGTCAGAGCCCACAGGAAGGGAGGCGGGGAGAGTGAGACTCTAAGGTGGGGAGTCCTCCCCCCCCATGTGGGAAGGTGTCCCTGAGCCCCACACTCGGAAGGCCCTCAGTGGCCCACCTCCCTCCTGTCCCACCGCAGCCTGTGCCCTCCCCCTGGAGGTCATGCTCTGGGTGCCCAGGGCTCTGGGACTTCACGGCTATTTTCCTCTCCTGTGTCCCTGCTTTGTAGCAAGTTGCATTTTCATCTCTTAAATTGTTATTTTAGGGGGATTTCCCCCCCCCCCCAAAAAAAACAGGGAAGATTCCTTTCCTTGGCAAACCCCCAAATTAGTTGTGAAATGTCAGCGAGAAACTCAATCCCAGAGGCAGCGCTCAGAGGGATTCTCAATGAAGCCCTTAGATTTCTCCTGGAGATGACAGCCCCACCCACAGGCTCCCGCCAACAGGCCTCCCATGGTCTGCATCCCCCACGCCCACCCGCACATGCATATCCACGCTGCTCTGTCCCAGAGGCCCACGCAGTACAGACACTGACCACCAGGGGGGGTTAAGGCGGACCCAGCCACTGCTCTTCCCCCAGAGAGTGACCTGGCTCCCTCTTTTACGCCCCAAGATGAGTGACGACAGTGACATCCAGCGACAACGTCCCTTCCTCCCTCTGGGGCATGGAAAGGGGGGCTGGTTCTATAGCCTCTCAGAGATAAGGCAAAAAGGGGGAGCATGCTGAGGTTGTCCCGATGTAAGAAGCTCTAAACACGAAAGACCAGCTTGCACTCTTGTTCCGTGTCATCCTGTTTTGGGAGCTCCCGTGGAAGGTCTCCGGGGCAGGGCACAGCCGAGGCCTTGCTGCCTGCTCCCCGGGGGAGAGGACGACGGAGCAGGTCCTGCCCAGAGGCCTGAGAGCGCCGGCTTGCTTCCCGCAGGGTCTGCAGTATCGGGGTAACTGGACATTCAGAATGACCCTGGAGGCTGCCGGCGGTCCCAGGACTGGGGGTGCCAGGGGCAAACAAACGCTAGACAAACACTGATTGTAATTTTCACACACACACACAACCTTCTTCCGCTATCTGGACTGTGTGCAATGAATTTCTCAGGCAGAACACACAAAAGCAGGGTATCTGGTTTAAAAGTACAGCCTGACAATCCTGTGGTGGGATCACCCCCATTTCTCCCAGGAGCGGGAGGTGGGCCTCAGAGCAAACAGGATGCTACTGCGAGGGAGCCCAGGGCCCCTGGCTGTCCCCCTCCCTGCGCCAGCTGTCCCGACTCCCTTCTGCCCAGACCAGCAGGAACGTCAGCAGGAATAGGCAGATGCAGTTGCAAGAACCGTCCGCACGTAAATGTGCATTTACTACTTAGTTTTCGCTCTTAACTGCACAAGACATTTGAGATGGCGGAATGCTCAGGACACATGGCGTAGATGGAGCTACGACTTCACAGTCGGTGAACTCACTGCATCAGACCTCAGCCCTGTGGTGGGGTCACTTCCCTGCTGTTCCCCAAGTGAATGTTGGCGGTTAGTTTAAGGCACCCGGTGCCCCGTCTCGGAGCTCTGCCGCCTCGAGGACCACTCTGAGCTTCCCACAAGCATCACCAGTGCGCGTGGACGTGGGCGCCACTTCTTCCCTCAGCAGCCACTGGCCTTCATTTCTCTCCCAGAAACAGCACGGCCTCTTCCGCACTTGGCGTCCGGCTCTGCACTGTCTGTGCAGGAGACGCTCGGGGACAGGAAGTTACCAGACGTGGCGGCTTCTCCCCAGTCATGGATGGAAGGAAGTTTTGGCCACAAAGGCACCAGATCCAAGAACTTCTCTTTCTTTCTCTTTCTTTTTCTCTTTCTCTCCTCTTTCTCTCTCTCTCTCGCTCCCTCCCTCCCTTCCTTCGCTACATTGATGATGAATAAATGAATGCATTTATCTGACCAGGATTCTTAAATAGTACTACATCAAGATAGCTCAGTATTTTAAAAAATATTTTTATTGATTCTGAGAGAGGGAGGGAGGGAGGGAGAGGGAGAGAGAGAGGGAGAGAGGGAGGGAGAGAGAGAGAGAAAGAGAGAGAGACATACATCAGTGTAAGAACGAAACATTGATCGGCCGCCTCCTACACGCCACCTACCGGGGATTGAGCCTGCCAACCCGGCATGTGCCCTGACCAGGAATCAAACCAGCAACTTTTTTTTTAAATATATTTTATTGATTTTTTTACAGAGAGGAAGGGAGAGGGATAGAGAGTTAGAAACATCGATGAGAGAGAAACATC